CATCTTAAAATACTCAGCTGAGAGTGTGCAAATCCTGTACACAAAACTCACACTACTTCAAGGAGGAGACCTGGGAGGAGGGTTCCCCCATGCACTGCAGGGAGAGGACCCTTAGAGCCACTGGGAGGTGCCAGGAATCTCCCCCTCCACAGTAGCAAACCAGACACCATTTCATCCTAAGACCAAATAAGGGACATTTGTCCTGGGTCAGTGGGACATGGCTGGTCAGTGTCATTGCTCCTCCAGATATCAGATATCTCCAGGGAAGGTAGAGAAAAGTTTTGGTCACTGATCTCCCCACGTGGCTCTCACCCAGCAGAGCATAAAGTGAAGCTGAGAGACAGGTGGAATGTGCCACCAGGGACTCCATCTTCACCTCTCCTCAGTGGCTTCTTGTCACCTTTCTGTGGGCCCTGAAGTTGCAGACCCACAGAGAGATGAACTAAACACGTCCTTTACTTAAAGCCAAGTAAGTTCTTCTCAGGTCACCCGGCCCCCTCCGTGTCTGTCTGGGTAAGTGATGTTGTGCCCTGTCAATGCACAAGGAGTGGGGAGGGGGCTTCTAGGAAGTGACTGGGAGGGGACAAATTGAGTCCACCAGACTTGGATGGCCCCAGGATAGCCACCCTGCAGTAACAGGCATCCACAGTCAGAGGACTGTTTTCTTTAGAATACAAATAGAATGTTTGTTCCCAGTATATTTAATTTTGGGGGGGGGGATACCAGGGATTGAACCCAGGGTCCCTCGGGCCCTTAGCCACTTCCCTAGCTTTTTTGTATTTTATTTAGAGACAGGGTCTCCCTGAGTTGCTCGGGGCCTCGTGTTGCTGAGGATGGCTTTGATCTCGTGATCCTCCTGCCTCAGCCTCAGAAGCCACTGGAATTACAGGGGTGCACCACCATCTTGCCTGGATGGTATATTTAAATTTGATATCTCAGAAGTAATTCATTGCTTTTTAACCCTAAGAAACAATTTCTCATTATTTTCTGAATTAAAAGACTTTGCTTGACCTGTACTCCTATGTTACCAAGGATTTATGTTATCTAAGGATTTTAAACATAAACCTTATTTAGGCAGGTCATCAGGAAAGTGATAAGTCTTGGTTTCAGATTTTAAAAACATACTCAGCTTTTCTTCTCTCATCTTCAGAAACCAAACAGAATGGTTCTGTGACTTCTATAGCTCAAAAATTGTGAAATATTATCTCAGATTCTTTAGAAGGAAATAGCACTGTTTGTTCAAAACCCCATCTCAGCTGGGTGTGGTGGTGCGGGCTAGGTATCCCAGCAGCTTGGGAGGCTGAGATAAGAGGATGGCAAGTTGGAGGCCAGCCTCATCAACTTAGTGAGGCTCTAAGAAACTCAGTGAGACCCTGTCTCTAAATAAAATACAAAAAAGGTCTGGGGACATTGGTACTGGGTCAGTGGGACCTGGATGGTCAGTTGTCATTGCTCCTCCAGATATCAGATATCTCCAGGGAAGGCAGAGAAAAGTCTGGGGATGGGGCTCAGGGGTTAAGAGTGCCTGGGTTCAATCCCTGGTGCAAACACACACACACACACACACACACACACAAACACAAATTTCTCACCAAGGGCAGAGGGCAACCTGGCAGCCTTATATTCCTGAAAATCAGCTACCCTCTTTTTTTTACCCCAGTTCATCAGGAATAGCCACGATCCATGGACCCAAGCCCTCTCCAGGGTTTTGCTCCCCCTATTCCTGGGGTTCCCTTATTCCAGAACAGCTCTGCACACAGCCCTGAAATCTGTCTGGCGATGGCCCTGCCCTCTCTGGTGAACCCACCATTTCTCCCCAGTGCTCTTCCTCGTTTTCCTCTTTGACTTGCATCATAAGGTAGAGCTTGGAGCCCACAGTCCCAAAGCCTCCTGCTCCTTTACCCTGTTCCGGGGATCTTCTCACTGGACGAGAGGGAGCCATGCATTTATGAACCAACCAGGACCTGTCTTGCTTCCTGCATCCCTTCTGTCCATTTTGTTTTGCAAGACTTTCCCCATTGTACTCATCAATAGGATTCTAGGCTTATGGTAACTGCTACCTCATGTATGTTTTTTATTGGTCTTTTTTAGTTACACAGGACAGCAGATTCTGTTGTGATATCTTCATCCAAGCATGGCATATATCTTATTCTAATTAGGACCCTAGTCCTGTGGACATACACAGCTGTGAGACTTGAGGGTGAATCAGGGGCACTTACCAGGGATGAATGTCAGGGGCACATAACCCCTGAGCCCCGTCCCCAGCCCTATTTTGTATTTTATTTAGAGACAGAGTCTCACTCAGTTGCTCAGGGCCTCACTTTTGTGGAGGCTGGCTTTGAACTCACAATCCTCCTATCTCAGCCTCCTGAGCCACTGGGATTTCAGATGCACCATGGTGTATTCACATATGTGCAGGAGAGTTCTGTCACATCCATTCCACTGACTGTTGTCCATTTTTGGCTTAGTATCCAGCAGGTGATGAGACTGAGGCTGATGGTGACAGTGAGTTAGCTAATAATGACCAAGTGAAATCGTATTTATTTCTCTGAAATGTATTTTGTTGATATTAGCAGCCCCTCTCTAAGGTCAGAAGCACCCAAACCTGCACTAGGTTCTGCTGAGGGGTGTCCTCCTTCCAAGCCTCTCTCCATCTCTCTCCTTACCACCGTGTCATGGTCCCTGATCTGAACAGGACCTTTTGATTACATCATGTGTCAGAGGATGGCCGTGATTTGGGGAACTACACACCTCTGCAACATCTAGAGTGACTGCGTCCTTGATGCAGGTAATTAAAGGTGTCCCAAAGATGTAATGCGTCTTTGGAGGATGTCCCGGACTTTGCTTTCAGATTTAGCAAGTGAATGCTCAGATTTCTCTTAGATTTTTTTTAATATTTTTTGTAGTTGTGGACAGACAGAGGCCTTTACTTTATGTGGTGCTGAGGATCAAACCCAGGGCCTCCCACGTGCAAGGTGAGCACTCTGCCACTGAGCCCCACGCGGCCCCCTCTTTGACATGGATTTCTCCACATTTGTTTGGTTTTTCCTGATCTTCCCACCTAATCTGTCACTCCTCTTCCCCACCGTGGCCTCTCTCAATCTGAGCTGATTCAGAAATCCGTGTCACTTTCCATGGGCTCCATGTCCTTACAGACAGAATTTCAGGTCTCTTGAGAGTAGCTGGCTTGCCCTTGTGTGTAAATGCAGATATTTTTGCATGTGACCATTGTCCACCCAGGCACTGGGTCAGCATTGGCACTGCCAAGACAGACCTTACTTGAGGAGTGTCCCCAGCTCATCCTGCTGAGGGGAGAGAGCCTCTGTCCTGTCTCCTGGTCTCAAGGACAGGCTGGGTGGGCAGGTGTGTCAGGAGGCCGGGCTGAGAGAGATCACACCCAGAACATGGCTCTTGGCTTCTTTCTCTGAAGTGCTCGTAGCCACCGACATTCCTTTCATAAAAATAACATATCACAGACATACCTGTATTCCATCCTTTATAAGACATAGAGTATAATATTTAAGAAAATCTAAATTATATATGTGTGTGTGTGTGTGTGTGTGTGTATCTATACACACACACACACACACACACACACACACACATTAGTACCAGGACTTCAGCCCAGGGGGACTTAACCACTGAGCCACATCCCAGCCCGTGTTGGTATTTTCTTTAGAGACAGGGCCTTGCTGAGTTGCTTAGAGCCTTGCTAAGTTGCTGAAGCTGGCCTCCAACTTGCCATGCTTCTGTCTCAGCCTCCTGAGCCACTGGGATGACAGGTGTGCGTCACTGTGCCTGCCTTGTATGTATATTTTAGTGATACAGTTGTGAGTGATCTAAAAGGGGGACATGGGCTGGGGATGTGGCTCAGTGCTATCTGTGTTCCAACCCCAGCACACGTGCATGCACACACACACACACACAAACACACACACACACACACACACACACGAAAAAAAAAAAAAACAAGACCAACAAAATGGAGACCACTAGATGGCCAGAAAAATCTCTCCTGACACTACAGGAAAGACACATGGTGACTGTCACTGCACTACATTGTGACCCTTTTCCTGATCTGTGCCTTGGGGGTCGGGGATTAACTCACAGAACAGCTCCATCCGGATGTATTCTGTAAGGACATCCTCACCAAATTTTCTAATATAGTTTCTATGCGTTACCTTTTAAGTGTGAGGAAATACCTTTGCTTCTGCAAGGAGAGGTGACAGTTTAGAGTCCCATGGAGTCCCATCCTTCAGGGACAGTTTGGACACTAGTCCTTTTATTAAGATGTTAAAATGGAACGAAACTGAATCTATGTAAAGTGGGTTTCTTTTTACCATCCCTGTTCCACGTGCTGAAATAGGGAGAACAATTGAAATTTCTGCTTATATTTGGTAGACTCCACCTCAAGGGAATTATTCTGGCATGATAATTATGAATGAGTAATATGTGTAGCTACCTTGGGGCATTCAAAGGAAACACCTGAACACCCATCAGAGTTCTCTGTAGAGAGATTGCCAAAGTACTATCTTTTGGAAATATTTTATTCTCTATGTATTAAGATGGGGGACAGCTGAGTGATTTTTACAAATAAATACATTGCCAGGTGCAGTGGTGCACACCTGTCATCCCAGCAGCTTGGGAGGCTGAGGCAGGAGGATCCCAAGTTGGAGGCCAGCCTCACCAACTTAGTGAGGTCCTAAGCAACTCAGGGAGACCCTGTCGCTAAATAAATATTAAAAGGGCTGGGGATGGGGCTCAGGGGTTAAGCACCCCTGGGTTCAATCCCTTGTACCCCCCTAAAAAAATGACCCAATGTAATCAAGACAGCACTGATGTACCCTAACCTATGCAAGTCTGATCTATATAGACTCTGATCCACCTTTCCTTGAGGCGAGCGCTCTTGTTCTGACTGATGAAGGTCTCTGTCCTTTTCATGAGGAATCACCCTTCCATTTCTCCACAGACCCTGACACACTCCTTCCACCCCCCATAAGATGAGCAAAGGCAGCCTCTACAGAATGCCTGCCCTGAGGAATGCCTTTCTGTCTGAAATTGGCATTGGGATCTTGGCCAACACTGTCCTCCTCCACGTCCATGTTTTCTCATTCCTCTTTGGACACAGACCCAAGCCCATGGACCTGCCCATTGCTCTCCTGGCCCTGACCCACCTGCTGTTGCTGGCCTCATGGGCTTCATAGCTACAGAAGTCTTTATGTCTCTCTGGAGATTCTGGGATGATGTCACCTGTAAAGCCGTCATCTACCTGTACAGGCTGATGAGGGGCTTCTCCATCTGCACCTCCTGCCTGCTGAGTGTCTTTCAGGCCATCACCCTGAGCCCCAGGGGCTCCCCCTTGGCAAAGTTCAAACCCAGGTCCTCACAGGACAGCCTGAGACCCCTCCTTTTTCTGTGTGTCTTGTACATGTCCATTAGTAGCCACCTCTTAGTCTCCATCGTCGCCACCCCCAACTGAACCTCAGGGGATCTGATGTACGCCACCGAATCCTGCTCCGTTTGGCCCATCACTTACTAGATCCAGCAGATGGTGTTCACCCTGTTTACCTTCCGGGAAGTCTTCCTCATGGGGCTCATGGCCCTCTCCAGTGGGTACATGGTGGCCCTCCTGTGCAGGCATAAGAGGCAGTGCCAGCACCTACAAAGCACCAGCCTGTCACCAAGAGCCTCCCCAGAACTGAGGGCCACCAGGACCATCCTGCTGCTCATGGGACTCTTCATGCTCATGTCCATGTTGGACTACATCATTTCCTCCTCGAGAATTATATGGAACAATGACCAAATTCTTTATTGCATCCAGATATTTGTGGCTCATACCTATGCCACAATCAGTCCTTTGATGTTCATCTGCACTGAAAAACTCATAATTAATTTTTTCAAGTCCCTATGGGGAGGTCCTTAAATGCTTAATTATTCAGGCAGGAATACATTCTCGTAAGATCAGCTAATGCCACTGGCTGCAGAACAGTTCATCAGAACATGTATGTATATGCACATATTATGTGTATATATACACCATATAGAACATATGTGATGTGTATGTGTATATATCTATATGTAAATAGCAGATCACACACACACACACACACACACACTTACATACATAAATATATAACCACACACATATATATGCATGCTCTTTTTGGGGAGGGATATTGGAGATTGAACTCAGAGGCACTCGACTACTGAGCCTCATCTGTAGCCCTATTCTATATTTTATTTAGAGACAGGGTCTCAGTGAGTTCCTTAGGGCCTCACTAGGTTGCCGAGGCTGGCCTTGAACTTGCAATCCTCCTGCCTCAGGCTCCCAAGCTGCTAGATGACAGGCGTGCCCCCCCAATGCCCTTTCTAGACATTGTGTTTTGGTAAAGTTCTGATATAGAATATGCTGTTTGCATTTTGCTGATTTATCTCAATACATATAGATGTCATAGACATCATGAGTAATGGAACCACATACTGTCACCTGTCACACAAACGTTTGCATTTCTGAATGTGTCTTCAAGGGAAAATGGTGAGTTGGATCTCAACTGCACACAGCCTGGTTTAGGACAGTGTGATACATGGGTCTGGAATGCCTGGTGCCCAGGTGTTGAAGGACTCATGTCCAGCCTGTGGTACTGTGGGGAGGAGAGGAGACCTTTAGGACGTGAAGCCTATTGGGAGGAACATGGATCATGGAGGGCTGGCCCTTGAAGCAAATATTGGACCCTGGCCCCTCCCTGTCTCCCTTCTGCTYTCTGGATRCCATGAGGAAAGCAACTGTGTCCCACCCCACGCTCCCCACCATGATGGACAACGCTACCACAGACCCAAAGCAACAGGGCCAAGTGGCCATAGACTGCAACCTCTGTAATTGTGAACCAAAATAAAAGAATATTTTCTCCTTTTAAGTTGCTGATATCTCTGGTATTTTTCACAGACGTGAAAAATTAACCAAAAAGTTCCTGCCCAGTAGTGGTATACAGGAAGTGGTCCTTTCTGTGACTCTACCAGATGATGTGGTTCAAAAGCCCTTGCAATTGGTTTATGAAAGAAATTTGGAAGAGTTTGGCAGAGCAGGCTAGGGAAAATCTAGTGTGATCATTGTGTGAGCTCAAAACCAAACTGGCACTGACGGGTGTGCGGACAGTAAAGACTGTGCTCATGAGGCCTCAGATAGGAGTGAGAGTTCCCCTGGGGATCAGGATGGCCCTGTTGAGAGCCAAAACCAAAGGGGCCCCAGCAAACTTCCAGCTGCCTGCAAACTTCCAGCTGCCAGCTGATGATTGGCTCACAGAGGCCCCAGCAAACTTCTAGCTGCCAAATGATTGGCTCCTCTTAGGTGATGCTCATTGGGCTGTTTCCCCGCCTTTAAGACCAAAGAGCTACTAATTGGGGGGCTTTATTTGGCTCCGCCCACATGACCCAGCTAATCGGCCTCAAGATCTGGGGGAGGTTTAGAGGCTTGTGAGAAGCCGGAGGTGGCAGTTGGGCTCTGAGGGTCTTCCTGAGGAGCTGTGTGGTGCCATGTGTTCTAAAAATAAAGTTCGTTTCTTTTGACAAGTGGCTCCTGAATTGTGCCCGGCCAGCCTGGGGCACGGGCCCCGTGTGCAATTCTGGAAAAGAACATGTTCACATTTGGCTCATGCTCCCAAGACTGTGTGGGAGGCTGAGTTTAAAGGTGATGGGGTCATTAACTGGCAGAGGACATTTCTAAGTAACACAAGCATTCAGGCTGTGGCCTGAGCATTGCTGGCTTCTTTATGCCAGATTCATGATGAGGATTGGAAGCCAAACAAAAAAGCAGATCAGAAAGATATGGAAGCCTCCACCGTTTGGTCAGAAAGAAAGCTCTTGTAAAGTCCTGTCAAGGAGGAGAGGGTCACTAATGAGATGTCACTATTTTAAAAGAAGCTGAGTACTTTGCACAAGAACGGTAAGAAAGATGCTTTGAGGGTCTATCAGAAATAAGCAAGAAGCCATCCATGGCAGGCTCAGAGGTGTCAACTTTTCAAAGAAGACTCTTCTTGGAGAAGAAACTGCAGGTGCACTGCTCGTACAATGCTGCTTAGTGTGCACAACGTCAGAGTCCTTGCTAGTAGCGGAAGAGGTGGACGCAGCTGTGTGAGGGGAGCAGGGTTGCTGAGCAGGCTCAGGAGGGCAGAGATGCCAGGGATGAGGGCTGCCTGCTAAGSGCTGCCTGCCCAGAGGCCTGTGTGCTGCAACCAGGAGGGTCATTGTAAGGAGACCCTTAAGCCCTTTGGAGATCACACGTGGGCAGGGAGCTGAAGATCTAGTGTTGGCTCTGCTTTTGTTTTCTGAGCTCTGGAGGTCCTACCAGAAAACCTACATGTACCCATGTCCCTCTACAGTGTCAGGTCCTACGTGTTGGTCTTCGACCCCTCTTAGTGTGATTCCGGGGTGCCTTGGGAGAGAGCAGGTCGCTTTTCAGTCTACCATGTTAATCCAGTCTTTCTGGTACCATTTAATAAAGAGGCGGTATTTTATCCTCTGTATGTTTGGGAGATTTTCTTGAGAATCATTTGACTGTAGATGTGTGGGTGCATTTCTGGCCTGTTCCGTTGGTCTGCATGTCTGTTTCTATATCAACATCCTACTGTCTTAACTACTGTGTATTTGGGATAAATTTTGAAACGAGGTACTGTGATGTCCTCTGACTTCTTCCTTTTGTTCAAGATGGCTTTGGTTACTCTTTTGCATCTCCAAATGAATTTTTAGGATCTTTTTCTGCTTCCATGAAGAATATCACTGGCCTTGTGACAAGGATTGCATGGAAACTGTAGCTCACTGGGGGGGGGGAGGGTGGCTACTTTTAAAACACTCACATTCCTATACTCCAATGATGAATCTGCTGTTGATATTTCATTCTGATACTTTGCTAAATTCATATATGAGTTCTAGAAATCTGGTGGTGTTTTTGGAGTATTCTAAAGACAAGATCATGATGTTGGCAAACAGAGATGATGTAAGCTCTTCTTTTCCTGCTTTTATCCCTTTAATTTCCTTTTGTGCCTAATCGCCCTGGCTAGCATTTCAAGGACTGTGTGTTAAATAGGAGTGGTGAAGGTGGGCATCCGTGCCTTGCTCCTGCCTTTAGAAAAGATGCTTTCAGTTTTCTCCATTCACAACTGGCTTGGGTTTTTCATAAGCAGTCTTTACATTATGAGGGATCTTCCTTCTATCCCTAGGTTTTCTGACATGAATGGGTGCTATACTTTGTTAAATGCCTTTTCTGCATTTATTGAGATAATCATGTGATGATTGTCTTTAAGTCTTTTGATGTGGCGAGTCACATTGATTGATTTCTGTATGTTGAGGCACACTTACATCCCTGGGATGAACCCCACTTGATCATGGTGTGCTCTCTCTTTCATGTGTTTTCGTATGCAGTTGGCCAATATTTTTTTAAGAATATTTACATCTGTGTTCATGAAAGATATTGGTTGAAAGTGTCCTTTCCCTGATGGGTCTTTGTCTGCTTTCGGCTTTAGGGTGATTCTAGTTTCAGAATTCTCTGAAAATACTCCATGATTTTTTAATATTTTTATTATTGGTTGTTGGACTTTCATTTTATTTACTTATTTACATGTGGTGCTGAGAATGACATTGGCATATGCTATCAGTACTATCACCTGTTTTCTATGTTATTTAGTCCTATACAAATAATCAGAGAAGTAATCATGTTCCCTGTATCCTCTTTATTAAGTATGCTCAGCTTTGTTTCTCTCATCTTCCTGAAAAAAAATGGAATGCTCATTGATATGTGACTTTCTAAACATTGAGAAATTAAAAAGTGATTTTGTATAAACCTGAAAGTAACAGGGGTGACCTTATATTACCACAACCATGTGTTGTAATTTCTCATGAAATCTTCCTTGTCCTACATTTCATCTCACAAATTAAAAATGAATGGTGCCTCTGCAGATTGTGTGTTCTGCCCAATAGCCAATTTCGAGTGAGAGGGCAGTGGTCCTGTGTCTCCTTCACATGAAAAGACAAGTGACCCTGATAGTAGTTTCTTTTTCCTAGCCCCCTAAAGATCTGGGAATATAATTTTCAATACTTGAGCAGGAAGAATATATGGTCCATTCATCTGGGCTCTTTTTTATTATTCATTTTAAAATTCTCCTTCCCATTTCCCTAAGAATTGTTGTGTCTGATTGGCATCTTGTTAGGGAGAATATTTGGAAAAGTTGTTCCTCCTTCTGTTCAGGTGTCTGTGCTCACATTTATTTTTTAAGTTCATATTTTCATGCAAAAGCAGTTACAGAACAAGTGTTAACCAATATCCTTTTCTTCCTCTTTAAGCAAATTGAACTTGATTCATGTCATTATTGACCTCATCAGGGAAACAGAGCCTCCTGCAGGTATGTTTGGGTTTCCCAGTAAGGACAGCTTAGTGACAGTGATGAAGCTCCTTTGGAGTTTCTTGTTGCTGTTAGAAAAGTAACTTTCCTTATACTGAACCTGAAGACAGATTTCAAACTACTGTTATTGTGTAGTTGCAGCTGGGAACCCTGAGCTTTACTGAAATCTTTACAATTTATGGTAACAATGGGTGATCATCAACAAGATGTTTCTGGAATAGCCATCACTCATTTACCCAAATATTCTACAGGCTTTTCTCCTTCATATTCCTGTAGCTTGTACATTTCACAGTGGCTTTTCACATAGCATAACACCTGGCAGGTAGTTGTTGTGCCCTCCCAGATGTGCAAGCTGATTCTCCCTAGTGCTCTTCATAGTTTCCCAGCTAGCACTGTGATTCAAAGTACAGCTTGCTGCCCAATTTCCCCTCAGTCCCAAACTCACATGAACCAGGACCAGCCCCCCCTCCCAGAACTCAATTGTTCATCTTTAGTTAACATACAGTAGGTGATGGGAGCAGGGGGAGGTTTA